TTGTTTTTTGTTGTGATATGTTGTGCATATATTTTTGTTTTTAATGTGTATAAAATTTTTGGTTTTAAATGAAATGAATAAAATAAATAAACTAAACTAAATTAAGTCTCTAGCTGTTTATCGTCAGTCTTTTTATTTTTAATCAGTTCAAACCAACAAAAGAAAAAAACCTGAAACTACGCAGATATTTCCTGACAAAATGAAAAAGGTAAAAAAATTAATAAATTTTAAAAAATGTAGTTTTATCTTGGGTATATTTTTAACTGCCACCCATTACGTAATAAAATAAGTATCATGACAAAGTCACGTGGAAGTGAAACTGCCGGAGGGCGCGAAGGGGAGTAACAGTTTTCCTTTAATGGCTGCGTGATCAGTGACCACGCCAGACCTCACACTCGCCCTAAAAGTGAGCTCACCGCTGTTACTCAGCATTTCCAAAGAACCTGTCGAACACGGCGCGCACTTCCACAACCCAACCAAGACAACCGCCTAAAACGACACTAATCCTCTGACAGACTTCAGGGACACACAGGCTAACCGTCAGCTGAGTGGATCAGTAATTACTCGGAACAGACCTCGGGAGGGAAGCTCTGCAGGTCGTTCCTTCTGCGGCCAATAGCATTAAAAGTGTAAAAATAGAGCTGAACTGCGTCTGACACTATGGTGCAAACAGGGTGATTATCAGTGGAAAATCCCGCTCGGATGTTTAAGCAAGTAGGCTAAGAACTTATAAATAGATGCCAACGAGGAAATTACAGGATCTATTCTTTTATTTAGAACAACTACATGATGGAGCTGAATCCCCAGTCACAGTTGCTACACTTGCAACTGAAAAACAGGTTATACAGGAAATGGCTAAAACAATGCCTTTCCTTCTCCAGTGCTGACATGAAGCAGCAGAAAAGCAAACATTAATGACGTGTCGAGTACATTTGGTGACCCAGACGTACAACAAGGGGGTCAACCCAATCATCCTCCAACAGGCGAGTGACCAATAGGAACAAAACTTACTTATAAAGAATTTATTTCCACTGCAAGCTGACAATGGCAGAGCTGTTGAAACATTTTTTATTCAAACATGCAAATTTGCATTTTCTATACAATTTGAGGAAACTCCGGTGAATAATCAGTCCAACACTGTCGTAAAACTAGCGACTGGTGAAACCACAAGGAGGAACGTTTTTTCTTCATACCAGTCATTCTCCACTGACATTGTTTGTAATCTCCCACGCAGATTTCATTCACAATTTCAAACAAGACTAGAAACAGAAACAACTGTGGGTCTCTAAAACGTAAGACTTTTCAATTCTGTTGGGCTGTCAGTTCCATCCAAGTCAAAAATTATATTTGAATTTCACTAGAAAGGCAAAAACCTGATAAGACCTAAAACCAGAAAATATTTGAGAACCGAGTGTTAATAACAAAATGTATTTAGGAGGGCTGATAAGGCCGGTGCAAATTCTTAGTCAGAATATGAGAAAATCCTTCTTTAAAAAGCAATAAACTGAGAAAGCGTATATTTTTATTTAATTTTACCTAAAACAAATCATCCAGTCAGAGTTGTTGGAGGGAGATTTATTTGTAATCAGTTCAGGTTTGCCATGACTGGCACTTTACCTGGTCGAAGAGCTGCTTGCCAATGGTGTTGGGCAGGATGGCAAACTCCAGCTCCGCATCCATGGTGGTGACCCGAACACTGACCTGTGGGAAAAACCATGAGAAACAAATAAAGTGGTGCTCATTTATAAAGTAAAGCACACCAAACTGCTACAGAGGAGTGCTTGGCCCGTGTTGTGTTTCTGTTTGGTAAGGGGGTGTATTTGCAGAGTAAACTGCTTTCTCAGAGACACACCAGCCTATTGAGCTGAACTCCAAAAACTAAATCTAAGAAGTCTAAAAAAGGTTGCTTCAACTCAAAGCAAGGAAATAAGACGTTTCAGCACAAAGCAAGTCTAACTCAGCTTTCTGAAACTAAGAAGACTAAAGGGTGGACTGTTTGGAGTGTTTGTTAAACTCTGGTTAAAGACTGATCACACTGACCAGGACGTCAATCTAATTTTTCCCCTCATGTAGCTCCACCCCAGAGAAAAATGCTCAGTTTCATAATAAAATGCAAACAGAACAACCAGCAGAATAAAGAAAACCAATGTCAACTGTGCGTCATGATGAAGAGAAACAATAGTCAGTAGGTTTATTCTGAAATTAGAAAATGACATCAGATTTTTAACAAAGGCCGTGAAACAATACTTCGATATTTACAATGGCTGCTTTGAGGTAATGTACATCCTGAATGGCTTTTTTGTGGCTGTAATGTCAAATGTCTCTGGTTTGCGGGGCTATGAAAAGACTCAGTCCAAGTTTTCACTGGGCTTATTAATGCAGATTGAAAATGAAACAAAGAGGTTTGTGGACAGAGAGAAAGCCCTTCAGCGACATCTTTCATCTCCTGTCCATTGTGAGGCGGGCCTCAGTGGTTCAACACCACCCACAGGAACAGGGAACCCTTGGTCTGGTGACTCAATGAGATTCTGATGCCCAAGAATCTACAAAAGACGAGCAACCAACTGATGGTAGGAAATCCTGGGAAAAAACTCATCTGATCACAGTACTGGATGGAAACCACTTGTGTACTTTTGTTTCCATTAGGATATTGAGTTGTGAAGGGAAGTCCAGAAAGTGATAAGAACTCAGGGAGTCTAGACAGTGGATATTTAAGATGCCCCATCTTCTGCTCTAATAACAGCTTAGCAGAAACCAGACGTTCTGGCAAACTTTTACGATCCAAATCAAAGCCCTCAGAACCACTAGGTTTTCTTTTAGCTCAGTCCTGTTTTAGAAACACGAGTGCACAATTTGAAATGTAAGAGTCAGCTGGCCAATTAAACATCCACCTTCAAGTCAAACCTAAAAACGCAGTGAAGGGGGGGCTGCAGTGACTCCACACGGCAAAACAAAGATTCCCTTTCAGCTGTAGTGTTCCCCAACTACGACAGCAAATACAGCACCAGAACTCAAACAAACCTCTTCATTTTTTTTATTTATTTCCCTAAACTGAATGAAGGTTTTGAAGCTTAACGGTGTAGGACGCTTCTCTCAACGTCACAGTCTATATTTACAGCAGTTACAGATGAAGCACGTAGAAACC